GAGTCCCTCTTTTTCTACTGTTTGTAATAGTTTTAGAAGGAATGGTACCAGTTCCTCTTTGTACCTCTGGTAGAATTTGGCTGTGAATCCATCTGGTCCTGGGCTTTTTTCGATTGGTAGGCTATTAATTACTGCCTCAATTTCAGAACTTGTTATTGGTCTATTCAGGGATTTGACTTCTTCCTTGGAATTTCAATTTTAAATAGGCAACCAAATGATCTGTAGGTGACAGCCCAAGATTTTGTTGGGCAAGACCTACACATATTATTCTGATTTAAAGATTTACCAGCCTAATAAATGGACTTTAACAGCCACACCAACTTTAAGGAGGACTTTATTCCCTGCATTCCAGATACCATTCTCAAATTGAGATTACTTAAATTCCAGTAGGACTTTTTAGTTTCATCTCAGAAAATGGACATCTAAAGTGTTTATAAAGACCTGCAGAGATGGGGTTACACTAATTTCTCAGGTCCATTCTTCTAGCTTTCACTAAATACAGTATTGGAGTTCAAGGCCTTTATAGTACAGGAAGTGTCTCATAGGATCTAATAATACTGTGCTACAATCTAACCTACTTCCTCCTATTCTGACCTCAGGATCAGTGCAAACAGCTCTCATGCCTTTAACCTGTTTTAGTCTTAGAATCACAGTAAAACATTTAGCTTCATGTATGTTACAAGTTCTAAGTAAACATTTACTCACAGTGATTATGCCAAAATAATCAGGTGTTTGAAAGCAATGTGAGTTTTCTTTCCTCTATTTTCTTTGCTGAAAGCCAGTAAAAATCTATTCAAGTTTATGTAGAATAAACAATTTTTCCCCACAAAGTGTTGCTCTAAGCCTAAATTTTTATGTTGAGGTCTTAATCCTATTATCACTGTTGAATACAACACTTAAACATCTCCTTCATGCTTGTTAAGGCACAGTAGAGTCAATTCATGCCCAGGGAGCTTTAATCACAGATCATCATCATGAACATCAGTGAAGAGTCTATGTGGGCTATCATGTCCAAGGCTAAGCCTACTGGGGAAGCTGTGCATAGCAGCATTGCCAGCATGCAGTTCATAACTATTTTCAAGGAGCACTTCTGATCTAATGGCTAAATGAGGATCATTAAAGTATCTTTACATGTAGCATTTCTTGAAAATTCCATATTTAAAGGAGGCCAGTTATTATATTCAATGGATGCAACTGAGATTGCTTGAGTGATGCTTTTATAGCCATGTGCTGCATAATGACATTTCAGTCCACAACAAACCACAAATAAGAGATTGATCCATAAAACTATAATAGATCTGAAGAAATTCCCATCACCTCGGGATGTGGTAGCTGTCGTAACGTCCCAGCATGGTGCATTACTCATGTGGTTGTAGAGACGTTGGTGTAATTCAACTTACTCTGCTACCACTCAAGCACATACAATTATGTGCAGTACATAATATTTAATAAAAAGTGAATATGTTACTAGTTTATGTGCTTACTAAAGTACACATTTCATTGTTATTTTAAAGTGCACTCCTTTTATTTATTTAAAAAAAGAGAACTTTAAAACAGCCCTAGGTAGGTCCTTCAAGAGGTATCCAGAAGAAGGGATTATCATTATAGGAGATGACAGCTCCATGCTGTCACCCTGAAGATGTTCCAGTGGACAAAATGTGAAGGCAGAAGACAGTGATACTGATGATTCTGACTCTGTGTAGGCCTAGATTAATGCATGTCTTTGCATCTTAGTTTTTAACCAAAAATTTTAAAAAGTTAAAATAATTTAAATAGAAAAACGCTTACAAAATAAGGATAAAAGAAAAAATGTTTTTGTATAGCTGTATGATGTGTTTGTGTTTTAAGCTAAGTGATGTCAAAAAGTTTAAAAATTTTATAAAGTAGTTACAGTAAGCTAAGGTTAATCTACTATTGAAATAAAGTTTTAAAATAAATTTGTTGTAGCCTAAGTTTATAGTGTTTATAAAGTCTACAGTAGTACACAGTAACGTCCTAGGCCTCTACATTCACTCACTACTCTCACTGACAGCCACAGCAACTACCAGTCTTGCAAGCGCCATTCATGCTAAGTGTCCTACATAGGGGTACCATTTAATTTTTTTGTTGTTTGTTTCACTCTTGTCGCCCAGGCTGGAGTGCAATGGTGTGGTCTTGGATCACTGCAACCTCCACCTCCAGGTTCAAGCAATTTTCCTGTCTCAGCCTCCCGAGTGGCTGGGATTACAGGCACCTGCCACAAGGCCTGGCTAATTTTGTATTTTTAGTAGAGACGGGGTTTCACCGTGTTGGCCAGGCTGGTCCTGAACTCCTGAACTCAGGTGATCCACCTGCCTTGGACTCCAAAATGCTGGGATTAGATGTGTGAGTCACCGCACCTGGCCTAAAACTCTTTGTACAGTATTTTTACCTTACCTTTTCTTTGTTTAAACACACAAACAGTTACTGTTGGGTATAGCAACCTGCTGTACAGGATTGTAGCCTAGGAGCAGTGGGCTAGACCACATAGCTTAAGTGTATAATAGACTATACTATCTAGTTTGCTATACTCCATGAAGTTTGCACAATGACAAAAATCACCTAAGAACACATTTCTCTGAAAGCATCCCTGTCATCAAGTGGTGCATGACTATATTATTGCCTGTGGTTTAAAGTTATATTGGTGGAGAGTGAATTAATGGCTTATTCACAGGTCGAGTTATTGTATTTCCATAATTTGTGACCCATTATGTAACCCATAATCAAAAATAAATAATTAAAGCAGGTCCGTGAAAAAATATCACATGGCAAAATAATAAGAATCACATAACAATAAAAAGTAGGTCGGAGTGATGAAAGATTTCTGGTTCATAAACATTGACATAACTAAGGGTTTTTTATGTTGCCCCAGGTGCTATTTATGATTTGCCTTATTTTCTCTTCTAAAACTCACTCTGGAGCCTTAAGCCCTAAATCAGAAACTCTAGCAGGTGTTTTAAAGGATACTGCATATTTTTAAAAGAGCTATTCTGATCAACAGGAAGAGCACGAAAGAAATAAGCTGCCGACCATTTGAGAAAAGAAGATAACGTGCGTTCCGGTATGAATTTTCCCAACATTGAAAATGTTCTCCTGAATGCTTGGTGCAGAATAAAGGAAAATGTAACTTAATCAAAAGGTGAGGAAACGAGGCCGGGCGCGGTGGCTCAAGCCTGTAATCCCAGCACTTTGGGAGGCCGAGACGGGCGGATCACGAGGTCAGGAGATCGAGACCATCCTGGCTAACACGGTGAAACCCCGTCTCTACTAAAAAATACAAAAAACTAGCCGAGCGAGGCGGCGGGCGCCTGTAGTCCCAGCTACTCGGGAGGCTGAGGCAGGAGAATAGCGTAAACCCGGGGGGCGGAGCTTGCAGTGAGCTGAGATCCGGCCACTGCACTCCAGCCTGGGCGACAGAGCCAGACTCCGTCTCAAAAAAAAAAAAAAAAAAAAAAGGGGAGGAAACAAACAAAATTTTTGTGTCCTATCAAATATACGACAAAGATGCTGGAGTATGCAAATTGAATAAAAGGCGGTCTGGCTCTTGAGGGTGGAGGTGAATGAGACTACAGATATGTTTTGGTTTTCCAGCACAGTAACTTAAAATAATGAACATTTGAATATTTGAAGATTATGGGAAGGCCATGAGGATATTTAGACTGCCACAGGCCTCACTGCTTCATGTTCTCTTATATGGAGCGTCTTCTTATTTTTGTGACCCTTCTAAGCCACTTGAGGTTGGGGGTCCTCTTCGAGTGTTTTGCTACAGAATATGATAGGGTAGAATGTTAGAGCTGGTAGGTCCAGTGCAACTGCCCCAATTAAGGCTGATACAACAGATACCAAGAGGTAACAGGAATGTGTTAACAACTCCCAGTAAGTAAATCAGTAGAAACCCCTGATGGTGAAATTTGGGCTGCCCAGGTACCCAATAACCTTTTATTATTTGGTACAACTACAAGATTTTAGCTGTACATTTTAATATTATGTTAAAACTGGTCTAGGAAAAATAATTATGGTCTGGTTATCAACAATTCATTAATTGGTTTCATTAAGGGTCCTTATTGCTGGAGAATACCAGAAATATCCAGTTTTATAAATTTTTGCTTGATATATACCACAATATCCAAATACACACCCACATACATGTGCATTCACACAGGCTTTTAATTTACCTTCATCAATAATTCACATAGACTTTTTAAGGATTCCGGAATTTTAAGATAGCATTCAGTGCACCATTCCTTCAAAAACAAGCAACTCTCTGAAAATATATTTCTATGTTAATATTAGCTCTAACTAATTGAAGGCTAAGGTAATATATATGTACTCAATAATTACAGAGTTTTCATGGCTTATGAAACCAAGAGTCTTGAGAAATGTACTTAATCTCTGTAATCTTTCTTTTTTAGATGAGGATTCTTATCACAAATCAGTGTATTTGGCACCTATTTGGTATGCTGGAAACCTTATCAATTTAGTATATTCTAGGAACTGAAAAACCAGAAGACAAATACTGCATGATCTCATTTATATGTGAAATCTAAAGAAGTCAAACTCATAGGAGTAGATAGTAGAATGGTGATTACCAACCGATGGCTGGAGAAAGGAGAGATGTTGATCAGTTTTAGCTACACAGCAGGAATAAGCTTTAGTGATCTATTACACAGAATGGTGACTATAATTAATAATAATCCATATATATAAATATATACAATTATTGCCAATTAAAAATAAAAGTTAGAAAATTCATAATCTCAGCAAGTAATAATGAACAAATGTAAAATTAACACTTTAAAATTGTAATTACTATATTGCTTGTGCAGACACTTTTAAGTTGGCAATTCGTTATACATTTTTATATCATATTTGAGTCATATTTAAAGGGAAAAGCACTGATGAGGTTAATTTTCAAGAATATGGTCAAAAAAAGAGAAGAGCAACTCTTAAAATTACTATAAAGAATAAACACAGTGAATTACCTCATATTCCTGGGAAAACTTCAAGTTGTCATTTGCTTTCAATCTTTCAATGTGGTCTGCAAGTTCCAAGATGGGTATTGGAGGATGGCTAGCCATACCTATTGAAAAAAGGAAAGAAGAAAAACATTTGAAAACAAATGAAAACGATGCTAGCCATTCCAAAATATAGAGAATACTATAGTTAGAAATGGCCTGAAAATATGTGAGTAGTAAAGATGTTTTAGGTGAGGAAGCAGGCAAATAGTTTGGTTACTCAAAGCAGGACATGCTCTGGGAAGATGAATTTTGTAGCCAAATGAAAAGTCACCAAGCAAAATCTCCAAACTAACACTCCTAGTGTAAAAGAAAGCGTTATTGTGCTATGAATCAATGAGGTTAGCTAGCGGAGGAAACTGACAGTCAGGCTTGATGTCAACTTCTGCTTTGAGTAATGACTTTTATGCCATTTCAAACTCCTTCTCCTGCACTGTGTGAAATGGAAATTGTGTGGAATTAAATGGTGTAAAGTGAACTAAGAAAACAGACACTGAGAAAGGCCTAAAAGGGAAAGAGTAGTAGCTTGATAGTAAACATAAAATGACTTATGCATAATCAAGGAAAACTAACTTGAAGAATGAAGGTTACCAGGGTAACCGGAATCATCTGAACCTGCAAAGGAAATGATGGTGTAAATAAAATAAAATAGAACAAATTCTTAAAAAAAAAATGAAATGGAAAGCCTGATATATTTTTTCAAGGACTAATCAAAATGCTGCAAGTTTTTGCAGGATTCATTATACATTGCGGCTAGTACAATGTGACTACTACATTAAGATCGCTAATATTTCACAAACCTGTAGGTGACTGACATTCACATGCAAACATAGACACAAAGAATGGCATGCACCACGGCTCATTGACGATAATCACTGAAGGCACAATCAGACACCAAACTGAGCTTCAAAAATGTTTCCACTAGTAGCAGATTGTAGAGGTTGGGGTTGCAGCCTTCTTCTGGACATTTATAAATGGCCACACTAACAACTCTGTGATATTTTGCCCCAGGTCCCCATTATTCAACCCCCAGCAAACCTACAATCTACTTTAGGTGTAAACATCTTTGTCTACTAATGAGAAATGAATTCAGGAAAGTTATCAAATGATGAAAAGACAGGAGGGAAAGAGGGTGAAGAAAGAAGGAAAGCAGAGACGGGGGCTGACACATTCTAGTTCATTCAGCCAGTGGAAGATATATTAATTTCATAGATTCCATGAAAAATAATCCACTATTAATTTTGGTGACTCCTGTGTCTTTCTGATGTTTTCTCACTTTTCATACGATTTGTCTTTTTTTTTTCCTATTAATTTTACAGAAGTATCATGAAAGAGCATTGCTGACTCTTATCTCACAGACACAAATTCCAGCTGGCTAGAAAAACCTGAACTAGCATGTCCCCAGGGAAGCCACTGAAGCAGAAAAAGAATGAGGGAGGAGCTCAAACTGGAAGCCATGTGTTGACATTCTGCTGTCACTGTGGCTCTCTGGAGGGAGGCTACAGAATGATGGCCATAGAGTCAACATGACATGTGACTACTTTAAGAGCATTTTAGGAATTATACCATTGTTAAAAGTCACCCAGTAAGTTCCTTTATCTCAAATGCCAAATTGTCAATGGTTCTGTAAGTTAAGTAAAAGCTACCCTGCTGTTTGAAGACTACCACTTTAGCAAGTGTTGTGAATTCTGGTGGTTTAGTTTTTATGGCTATGAAGGTCTGCTTCCAGTCAGCTAAAATTTTAGTGGAGAGCCAATAAAACTGAATTGCTTGCAAGTAGAAATTCTTTGTTGGTGATATAATAATGCCTTTGGAACAAAATTTTGGAACCCTTTCTGAAACTTTTCTGTATTAATGGTAGAACTGAAATAATTTACATTCTGTAGAGGAAGTGAGAGGGTGACAGTGATCTGATAATTACATGATCTTATCCAGATGAGGCACCCCCAATGAAAAGAATGGAAATGCAAAGGCATAGGTGACTTTAGGCTTATCTGGAAATGGAAATGGACTGATATGGACATCATTACAGTACTTTAACAGAGAAAATAATAGAGACAAAGATGTTTAGACCTTTTCGAGCGAATCGTGGGAGAGAGTTATTATCATATATGGACTGAGTGGTGGTTTGGCTAGAGAGGGAGGACACAGAGCCAATCAGGGAGGCGTAGGGGACTGAATTACTGCTCAAAGCTGCAAAAAGTAAAGCCAGTTGGAGATGGGAAAAGTATTAGTATTACAGCAGTAGAAGACCATAATAATAACCAAAGATGTGATCAACATATTTACTTGAGGCATGCACTGGCACATGATCTGGAATTATTATATTGTAAGCTTATTAAAGAAAAATTCAAGCAGACCTACATTGGCTCATTATATTCCACATCAGAATATATATACGTATATCTATTACATGCAAGATATCATAGCATTAAAGAATCGCTACATAAAACTTATCATTGGATACCATATTGCACTCAATTTCTAAGTAAAAATGGCAGATGGATGTTTCACAGAAAAGGGAGGAGAATTTGTGTGAATCCAATGGTACGGGAGAAAGAATCCTGGCTTAGAATACTGGACTTGGGTTCTACTTCTGGTTTTGTCATCTACTAATAGGGACAAATCACCATTTGTGAAGCGCCTTTGATTTCTTTAACTGTTAAAATCAGAGTATAGAACTAGATAAATTCAAGAGCCATTCTCTTCTTCATAACTTTCATTCTTCCCACACACAGATAGAACTTCTGAACAGAGAAGGGTCTATTGGACATGGTGCAAATGTAAGGGTTCTAAAAGTTATTGTACCTCTTCTTTGAGGGGGGATGGAGAGTACTTACTTTTTACAAAATAGAAAAGTAGTATGCAGCTGAATTGTTTATTTTTTCAACTATTTAAGTTTGCTGCTATTTTCTCTCATTAGTCAAAGTGTATACACAGTCTATTATGATGTTATATCATATATCAGAAAAGACTGAATGTCAGCATAAAAATAATCCTCCAGAGTAAAACTCCTCTAAGTTGAAACTGTTTAGCTCATATCAGAAAACAATGACCAAGGATCTACTTCAAAATATTGTTACAAAATTCTGCAGAAACATCTCCACTGCCCAATATTGAAAGAAAGTTATATGATATAAACAAGTATGTTAGATTTTAAATGAAAAGATAGACACTAAGAAAACTATGAAGTTGACCTCACTGTGGTATCCTTTCAATGTTTTGTCTGGCAACATGACCACTGCTCACAGTCTATAAACCAAAGTCTTTACTACATCAGAGTTTTCACATTTAAATTACTTGATGTGCTTTAAATTTTTTTTTTTTTTTTTTTTTTTTTGCAGGCTGTATACCAGACCAATTCAGGTCTCTGGATGTGGGAGCTATATACTGATATTTTTAAAGTTCCCCAGCGCTGGCTCTTAGTCCTATGTGATTCATGAGGCGGGGCCTATAACTCCATTTATTCCTTTTTTTTCCATTTAGAAGTCATATCAGGATTTAAGAGAATGAGATGAGCTTTCTCTTGGTGATATTCTTGAATCCCCTCTAACATCCCATTAGCAAGCTTTAGTACTTCAGCTATTATTAGCAGCCAAGAACTTGAAGGAGAGCTAACAAATAGGGAGGGCTTGCCAGTGTCATGATCTCATCAGTTCAAAGCTACAAATGTACAACAGAAATGCTTTTTTTTTTTTTTTTTTTTTAATTTTTTGAGATGGAGTCTCACTCTGTTGCCCAGTTGCCCAGGCTGGAGTGTAGTGGTGCAACCTCAGCTCACTGCAAGCTCCACTTCCCGGGTTCAAGCGGTTCTCCTGCTTCAGCCTCCTGAGTAGCTGGGATTACAGGGACGCACCACCACACCCGGCTAATATTTATATTTTTAGTAGAGACGGGGTTTCACCATGTTGGTCAGGCTGGTCTCAAACTCCTGACCTCGTGATCCACCTGCCTTGGCCTTCCAAAGTGCTAGAATTACAGACATGAGCCACTGTGCCCGGCCCATAAATGCATTTTAAAGGCACGCATCAAATCTGGTAAGACTTTTCATTTTGAAGCTATGATCTCCACAGTATAGTGTCAACGTGAAAAATGACAGATGCAGTCACTGAAATCTGCCTTAGGTTGGAGGAAAAAACAGGATGGCTCCCTTTAATAGGGTACATATTTGTAAGACTAATGTCATGGTGACTTCCTTATAAGAAGTAAACTTTAAAATCATGGCATCTTAACCTGAGAGGCACCTTAGAGACGACTTAGTCCAGCACTTTCATTTTATACAAGAGGACTCAAATCCAGAAAAGTTAGATGATTTCTCTATATAAGCCCAGACAGTAAATAACATCTCAACATGCAGCTTGGGCATCTTTCTACTGTAGTATTTCTAGAATGGCATTTGCGATCTTCTAAATAAAGTGGGGGGCAAAGTCTCCATGGATGAAAGGGGCTAGACTGGTAAGATAAATGACTGAAGGTGGCTAAGTATTATACAGTCAACATTTTCACACACACACACAAAATGCAGTAATTCCCATTTCCTCACAATGAGCAGGTTTCCAGGGCTGGCTTTTGTTTCTCTACTTTGAACAGAGACTCCAGAAAGAACAATAATTCTTTACTATGTGAAAAATAGCCATAAGCGTGACATAAACGGCAACTAACGCTCAGTCTCAGTGTCACTCATCTTTAGGGCTAGTGTACATGTGGGGGGCTTCTGAAAAGGGTAAAACTATTCAGCTCCAGGACTTGCTCTGCCAAGTGAGAATGCAAGGCCAATCGGTTCAGACTGTTCAGGTTTTCAATAGCCACTAAAAATCCAGAGTTTCCTGTGGCATTTCCTCAGTTTTCAATTTGACTCAAAATTTTGTTGAAACTCAGTCCATGTCAAAAGAAGCTCTTCTGCAGTCCACATATGGCTAACTAGATTATGGCCTTTGTTTTAAAAGAACAAAACCTTCTTTCATCTGTGTGTATGTGAATTAGAATCAAGGAGTGTTGGGAGTGACAGATTGCAAGCTTGTATCCACAAGACAATGGACTAGATACTGCTTTGTGCTGGGGATATAAAGAAGTATGCTTCTTGCATGGTTCATCCCCTATGGGTTCATCTACCTCCCCTCTCTCTAACCTGATCCCCCAATAATTCTACCAATTAGAAAAATGAAGCCCAGGAGAGTTAAAGAACTCGATCAAGGTCATCATTATCAGCAGAACTGTAGCTGCATGAGGATTTGATCCCATACCATGTCCACTCTCATTTAGCACATTTCACATTACGCCATGCTGTCTCTCAAATCATTTAACATCCCTGGACAAGTGGTGACAGGTACATAAAGCTGGGTCTTTAAGACTGTTTGGGCTGTCTATGCAGCAAGACAGAGATCATAAACCATCCTCAGTTTGAGAAAAAGTGTCAATATAGGGACTTCACCTACGTCCTCTGTTTCAATGATGGGGAAGAGGAAAAGAGGATGCAAAAGCACATCTGTATTTTCCAGGTACTTCTTGCCAAAATATCCTAAGTTTCCATTAAAACATGAACTAACGGTATGAATTTAAAATGTTAAAAACTGGAATGCCATTTGGCAGAATACTTTTTAGAACCTAATTTATGG